TATACTGCCTTTTCACTGCAGATTTGAGTCTCAAAGCGGTTTACAATTGTCAATTTTTTTGGGCATTTGTCTCTCACTCCACACAGAGATGGGAGCAGGGTCGCCAGTACAGGAGGCACATGCCAGAACTATTGGACATATTTTTAGTGGTAGGGGAAACCGGATTACCCGGAGGAAACCTACGCAGACACAGGGAGAACATGCAAACTCCACTCAGAAAGGCCCTGGTTTGACCGGGATTCGAACCCAGGACCTTCTTGCTGAGAGGCGAGAGTGCTATCCACTCAGCCACCATGCCGCCCGGTGTGAACTAAACGTTAAAGTGATAGTCTGGAATTCTAAATGAATTATACATTTTAAGAATTGTATTAAATTGACCTCCTGGCCTTAAATGTTGATAAAAATAAGTCATTTTATGATTCTAATAAGTCCCGCCTTCCCTTCTCTTAGCTATAGCTCAGAATCCACGATGCCGTCCACGTAAACCAATCAAGTGATGCCAAGGGCTGTCAATAATCGGCGCTGATGCTCGCAGCTGCCCGCAGCTGCCCGCATGCTCAGTTGTTTGTTTTCAAGGAGCCTCCGAATCAAGCCTCTATTTGGCTCTGGAACTACATGAAAACTGAACAAAGAATTCTGAACATCCGCGCTGAGGTACTTACAGTATGTATATACTGAAGCTATATCCATAATCATTTAAATACTGAACCTATATCCATAATCATTTATATACTGAACCTATATCCATAATCATTTATATACTGAACCTATATCCATAATCAGATCCTCTGCAGATGTGTCCTATAATGTTCAAGTAATGATAATAGCTACTTCCGGGTTTACCGCATTAATAATGTATACGTATAATGTTTGTTTTCCGATTAACATTTAAATGTGTTGATTGATTGTTACGGAAACCCAGTAAGGGCAGGCTCCTTTTGTGGCACCGGCACCTGCCACAGCTGATTAGTGGCATGTACACAACAAATGGCGTTTAAAACGGCATGTACACAACAAGTGGCGTTTAAAACGGCATGTGGGGAATAAATGGCGTGTAAAGCGGCATGTGGGCAATAAATGGCGTTTACAACGGCATGTGGGGAATAAATGTCGTGTAAAGCGGCATGTGGGCAATAAATGGCGTTTACAACGGCATGTGGGGAATAAATGGTGTGTAAAGCGGCATGTGGGCAATAAATGCCGTTTACAACGGCATGGGGGGAATAAATGGCGTGTAAAGCGGCATGTGGACAACAAGTGGCGTTTAAAACGGCATGTGGGGAATAAATGGCGTGTAAAGCGGCATGTGGACAACAAGTGGCGTTTAAAACGGCATGTGGACAACAAGTGGCGTTTAAAACGACATGTGGACAACAAGTGGCGTGTAAAGCGGCATGTGGACAACAAGTGGCGTTTAAAACGGCATGTGGACAACAAGTGGCGTGTAAAGCGGCATGTGGACAACAAGTGGCGTTTAAAACGGCATGTGGGGAATAAATGGCGTGTAAAGCGGCATGTGGACAACAAGTGGCGTTTAAAACGGCATGTGGACAACAAGTGGCGTTTAAAACGGCATGTGGACAACAAGTGGCGTGTAAAGCGGCATGTGGACAACAAGTGGCGTTTAAAACGGCATGTGGGCATCAAATACAGTTGTAAGCAGGCTGTACAAAAGACAACAAGCAGCATTACTGGAGCTAGTGGTCCAGTGGCTCAGATGGAAAAGCACAGGTCTACGGTGTTGATGGTTGCTAGTTCAAATCCCCAGTGACTACCGATGACATTTGCTGATGTTGGGTCCTTGGGCATAACACTTCATGGAGAATGTCAGAAGTGCCATAAATTGTTTGAAAAATGTAGTTTGAGTTATAATAAATTAAATTAAAAATTTGTTGAAAGACTTGATTTCATGTATTATATACAGTGTTGGGCACGTTACTTTGAAAAAGTAATTAGTTATAGTTACTAGTTACTTCTCCCAAAAAGTAACTGAGTTACTAACGGAGTTACTCCGAGTTACTCCAAGTAACTAGTTACCAGTAAAAGTAACTATTGCGTTACTTTTTCGTTTTGTTCTGGAACATAATGTACACCCGACGTGCGCATTTTTACCTTTAACCTCAGTGAGTCTGAAATAGTGCCAATATTTCCATCTAGAAAAGGCTGTTTTGCTGCTGAAGTCCTGTTCACTCTTCATCTCTCTCTGTGCTGTAAGCACTAAACACCAACACCTGCCACTGTGAATGTGGAAACACCGGTGAAGCACTGACTTCAGCCCAATTAGATGAACATATATATCATATAAATCAAGTGGACCTAGAGAGCGGCTTATTTGTTTGGCTACAGCAGAATATGTTTCATTCCCGCATTGTTTGTTCATACAAAACGCAAAACTAAGAGTTATGGGTCTTACCTTATAAATGACCTGCACAGGCCACTTCGGTTCAGACCAGTTCTGTGTTTAAGTCCAGATAATAGTTTGAGCGTAGATATGTAATCCTCCATTTGGAAATGAGTCCAATGAGTTTTAAAAAGTAAAACAAAACGCGTGTGTCCTCCATAAACTCCTGTGTTTGCTAGCTGAAGCCGGGTGCATCCGATTTCTAAAATCAACCGTCTTACACTTCACCTCTCTTTCTTATCATTCCCTTAGTCATTGAAAAATTACCCTAAGTGCATTTTAAATGATCTTAAAATGTGTTATATGTATGTTAGCCAAACCTGTTGATGTCCTTAGCAGATAAACCAGGAAGAGAAAGGAGCTTATCGATGGAATTGTATGCAGCCGACTTCTGCGCTCACATGAGCTCCTCTGAGGCCTCACGGTGATACAAGCCGTGGTAGAGTGTGATTAATTTGTTTCATTTGTTTAAAAAACACAATTTATGAGCCATCCTCTCAACTGTAGACATGTAGATTGTAAAGGAAATATGTTTTACATCAGCCAATAATTTCTGAGAGGTTTTCTCATCCTCCCTTCTCTCATGACAACACGCGCACGAGTCCTATCACGAAGTAAAAAGAGAAGTTCACTGTGCGTCTTGAGTAACGCGCAGTAACGGGATGTCGGAAATGATAACGGCGTTATAGTTACAGTCAAAGTAATTAGTTAGATTACTCGTTACTGAAAAAAGTAACGGCGTTAGTAACGCCGTTATTCCCATCACTGATTATATATAGTTAAATTCCACATGACCTGCGTCATCCTGCGGCTCACTTGGTTTATAACTGCCTCTAATGCGGAAGATACCTGGTTCAAATCCAGGACAGGTCATTAGTTTTTCTTTGTCAGATTAAATATATATAAAAAAAAAAATATATATATATATATATATATATAAATAAAACAAAAGAAAAAATCATTTTATTTCTCTCTCTTCTTTAATAAAACCACATCAGAAACATGGAACAATAAGAAAGAGCATTAATACATATATTTTTTTTAAAAGAATGCAAAGTATAAGACACAGCTTAAACGGTCCAAGAACAGAAATGAAGATTTTAACAATATAGAGATGAAACCTCATGTTCCAATTACACAACTTTCTGCTTGTGTTTTTCAATCCATCACTCTTCACCATCTTTAGTTGGCTCCATTCTTGATGAAATGTCCTAAAACAACAATAGAATCTTTCGTTTTTTTCTTTTCCAAAACACAAAATAAGTGGCGCAGTCATTAAACATTCGTCTGTAGTGCGTGAGATTGGCAGATCGAATTAAAGTATCGTTTTTTTTTTTTTAATGGCAGTTATATAAAAACTGTATATATATATAAAGATATATATAGATATTTATAGATATATATATGTATAAAGAAATAACCGTCATAAAAAAGTTTTTGATCTTGGCTGGATTTGAATCTGCGAACTCTTGCATGATTGGCGGACAAACACCAACTATACCACTCACCAGGTGGTTTTAAGTAAAATTGTGTCTTGAGTGTTTTACACATCATTTAGTTTTACCCTAACGATGATGCAATATTAATCCTAATGCAAGATTACTATTGGAACAACACATAACCATATGTATGAAATATATATTCATACATATTCAATTTGTATTTAATCTGACAAAAAAAAAAAAAAGACCAGACTTGGAATTGAACCAGGTATCTTTTGCATGAGAAACAGTTACCAAGTGCGCCACAGGAATATACACTTCTTCAGAATCTAAACCACTCATAATACATGAAATCAAGTCTTTCAACAAATTTTAAATTTAATTTATTATAACTCAAACTACATTTTTCAAACAATTTATGGCACTTCTGACATTCTCCATGAAGTGTTATGCCCAAGGACCCAACATCAGCAAATGTCATCAGTAGTCACTGGGGATTTGAACTAGCAACCATCAACACCGTAGACCTGTGCTTTTCCATCTGAGCCACTGGACCACTATCTCTAATTCTGCTGCTTGTTGTATTTTGTACAGGCTGCTTTCAACTGTATTTGTTTTACACGCTATTTATTCCCCACATGCCGTTTTAAACGCCATTTATTGCCCACATGCCGTATTAAATGCCATTTATTGTCCACATGCCGTTTTAAACGCCATTTATTGCCCACATGCCGTTTTAAACGGCATTTGTTCCCCACATGCCGTTTTAAACGCCACTTGTTGTCCACATGCCGTTTTAAACGCCACTTGTTGTCCACATGCCGTTTTAAACGCCACTTGTTGTCCACATGCCGCTTTACACGCCATTTATTCCCCACATGCCGTTTTAAACGCCACTTGTTGTCCACATGCCGCTTTACACGCCATTTATTCCCCACATGCCGTTTTAAACGCCACTTGTTGTGTACATGCCACTGATCAGCTGTGGCAGGTGCCGGTGCCACAAAAGGAACCTGCCCTTTCTCCGGAAACATGTGTAGACCAATCAGAAAGGAAGGGGGAGGAGCTTGACAAACTCCAGACAATCACTTTAACTAGAAATGGTACAATGGCTGAAGCCATTGTGAGTGGCTGCATAGATGTTGGAAGGGTTAGGGATGAAGAAGGAAGAGGAAGGGGAAGAAGAAGGAAGAAGAAAGAAAAGGGAAGAAGAGGAAAGAAGGAAGAGGAGGAGGAAGAAGAAGAAGGGGAAGAATAAGAAGAAGGGGAAGAAGAGGAAGAAGGGAAAGAAGAGGAAGAAGGGGAAGAAGAGGAAGAGGAGGAAGAAGGGGAAGAAGAGGAAGAAGAGGAAGAAGGGGAAGAAGGGGAAGAAGAGGAAGAAGTGAAGAAGATGAAGTAAGAAGAATGTGTTGTAAAGTGCTGAATGTGTTCTAAGGTGTTGTAAAGTGCTAAATGTGTTGTAAGGTGTTGAATTTGTTGTAAAGTGCTAAATGTGTTGTAAAGTGCTGTAAGTGTGGTAAAGTGCTGTAAGTGTTGTAAGGTGCTGTAAGTGTTGTAAGATGTTGTAATGTATTGTATCTGTGGTAATGAATTGTTAGTGTGGTAATGTGTTGTATGGGGAGTAATCTGTTGTACTGGTCCAATGTAAGTCAATGGGAAAAAGTGCTTGAACTTTTGTTAATATCTGAAAAAGTGCTAAAGGTGGAAGTGTGAAAAGTAATAGCAATAATGAGACGGTGAAGCCGGTCGTAACGATGTATAATTTGTTGAATTTGGTGAAAGCGTTGAAGAGTTGAAAAGTGCCAAAATCTGGCGGAAGTGGAAGAAGAAGAACTAGAAATGGTACAATGGCTGAAGCCATTGTGAGTGGCTGCATAGATGTTGGAAGGGTTAGGGATGAAGAAGGAAGAGGAAGGGGAAGAAGGAGGAAGAAGGAAGAAGTTGAAAGAAATGAAAGAAGAAAGAAGAAGAAGAAAGAAAAGGGAAAGAGGAAAGAAGAAGAAGAGGAAGAGGAAGAAGAAGGAGGAGGGAGGAAGAGGAAGCGGAAGAAGGAGGAAGAAGAGGAAGAAGGGGAAGAAGGGGGAGAAGAGGAAGAAGGGGAAGAAGAGGAAGAAGGGGAAAAGAGGAAGAAGGGGAAGAGGTAGAAGGGAAAGAAGGGGAAGAAGAGGAAGAAGGGGAAGAAGAGTAAGAAGGGAAAGAAGAGAAGGCGAAGAAGAGTAAAGTGCTAAATGTGTTGTAAGGTGCTGAATGTGTTGGAAAGTGCAGTAATTTGTCAGAATTCCCCAGCCCCAGAAGCTGCAGAGAGGCCGCAAACACAGCCCTTCGTTCTGCAGGTCCTTTTAGTTCAACAAGAGACAAAAACCAATGTTAAAACAGTGATAGAAATGACAGATACCAAACCTGATTTCAAAAGGTTATATTGAAGATTTTGCAAGCAATATTACAAGATAACGGTCAGCGAACAGATCTCGCTTCGCGTTCAGATAAGGAGTGGCCCCCGGGGACGTCTCACTGCTCCTTGTCAGACGAAAAAGCAAAAAGTCTCTCGTGACCACTCCTGCACATACATTTATACTTTACATCCAAGGTCAATGACATCACAACTGTATGGACTCCACGACTCCTTCTGGCCAGCTGCCAACGTTTGCACCTGCTCTGATAACACTTGTCTCCCTCTTGTCCCCCTCCCATTTCAGACTAACCTTGAACTCACTGCTCTTTGAGATTTACACAAACAAGTGCTAATTTGGCAACAGAAACAATACTAAACTGATTTTAGTTTTTAACTGGTGCAGGAGTTAATATTCCAACAAAAGTGTTGAATGTGTTGTAAAGTGCTGTAAGTCTTGTAAAGTGCTGTAAGTCTTGTAAAGTGCTGTAAGTCTTGTAAAGTGCTGTAAGTCTTGTAAAGTGCTGTAAGTGTTGTAAGATGTTGTAATGTATTGTATCTGTGGTAATGAATTGTTAGTGTGGTAATGTGTTGTATGGGGAGTAATCTGTTGTACTGGTCTAATGTAAGTCTATGGGAAAAAATGCTTGAACTTTTGTTAATATCTGAAAAAGTGCAAAAGGTGGAAGTGTGAAAAGTAATAGCAATAATGAGACGGTGAAGCCGGTCGTAACGATGTATAATTTGTTGAATTTGGTTAAAGCGTTGAAGAGTTGAAAAGTGCCAAAATCTGGCGGAAGTGGAAGAAGAATAAACAGTAGGAGAGCATATAGTGGCTGCATAGTCTATGCAGCCACTCAATAAACAGTAGGAGAGCATATAGTGGCTGCATAGTCTATGCAGCCACTCAATAAAATACACTGAAAGCAGCCAGCATTCAATAGTTGAAATGTAAAACGTGCAAAGAAAGAAGAAAGTGAAGCAGATTAACACAGAAACATGTCAGAAGTATGTTTTATATGTCGTCACGGCACAAAGGTGGAGTCTGACATGATGTAACATTCACCGTGACAAGACTTTTCTGTCCTATTAGCCTCTGTGGAAATGGCTGTAAAATAATATCACAAGTTTAGATAAATTGCGAACTTTGAGTGGCCACAAGCTAATTCATTTACAGTCATTACAGTCGTTAACATCATTTATCAGGACTCGCGATAAAAACTCAGACATGAAGCGACAACACGATTGCTCCAAGCTTTATGACTCTATTGTTCTCAATCTACAAAAATAAACTTGTAAAACTGTAACAGATAACACTTCTGGAGGCAATATGTGAAAAAGACGGAAGGGCTGCTTGGTACTGTGATGGGAGACCTGGGAATACTGTGGGGCTATGGTGGGGCGGCTGCCAAGCTAATATTGTGCCTTTAAGCAAGACAATTCAGTGAGTGGGTGAATGATTGTTGGCGGCTCAGCTCGGTGGTTTTGTCATAGTTTTCCACTGCTGTGTTTATTTATTTATTTATTTATTAGTTTATGTGAATAGGAACAGTACACATTACTCAACATTGCTGTAAATGTGTCAGTATTAGCTAACAGCTAGTTTCCAACTGTAGTTCCGGAGGCAAAGTGTAAAATGCCATCAAAGTGCACTGCAAACGCTACAATATAAAAATAATTAGTTAATATATTACAATTTAAAACATGTCCTTAAAACAAACCAAAGCAAAAAATACATGATGATCAGATCTGGTGTTTCTGCTGCTCCGCTTAAGAAAAACAGATAGTGGGGGTGGGGCCAGGTCATTTAAGATTTAAAAAACCAGAAGACTTGAAATCTTACCAATCTTTTCATTGTATCTTTCTGCTTGTCACATTGGCAAATATTGTTCTAAGGCAGACAAAAAGTGCTCAAGTTCGCAAGATTTGAGCAATTTTTAAAAACATTTTTTCACTTTTTGCAGTATTTATTTGGCCAAGATTCTGCAGTGGTGGTGCCGGAAAGGTTTCCTATCCAAGACTTTTAATGTTCATATCCAGGACTTTTACCGCCTGTTTGTAGACAGACTGGATGGGATCAGGGTTGTCTTGCATCCCTGTGACCAGCTGGTGACACAGTAAGTTAGATGCAGCATTATCATAGTATAAAAAAAGAAATGGCAGATTTCTGGTTTAAGTTACTTCTAATTTGCTAAATTTAACTTTACTATTTGGCTAACTTTCTTTACCTGTAATTAATAGTGTCATGTGAAACGTCTTTGAGTGTCCAAGAAGTGCTGAATAAATGGGATGCATTATTATTATGATGATTATTAATATTATTATAAAAATCTTTCTTTAGAGTCAAGTCTCAGCTGGAGTCATATGTCATAAGGGAGGTTACCTGTTATCACTTATCAGAGCAGGTCGCTGCGTAAACCTGTCCAGGACTGAGTGACAAACAGCTTCAGCCTTGTGAAATCTAGACCAACATTGACAAAGAAACAAGTGACGCTGGGGCTTGGACCAACACAACCGATACTGCACCGAGACAGAGAGTGGCTCAGTATGTTGATGATATTAATGATGATAATAATGATGATAATAATGGTGATATTAATGATGATAGCGTCTCTCCAGATGAGGACTTTATGGCTGAAATCCATCCACTGATCGTCTCTGAACCACTGACCAAACACCTCTTCTTTGTTTTGCAAGAATCTCAATCAAAACATGTTTATTTAAGAATTAGTAAAGCAGGATTTCTCATTGTGTATTGATCGTATTATCAGTGCAAACATGGAAGCTACAGTGGGATAAGCCATAAATACTGCACTGGCAACCATATTTAACCATGTCACACAAAACAGTGAAATAACCACAATCTAACACATGGCCAGCATCATCCACACAACTGGGAATTTATATTTTACTGTATTCAAAATAGAGTCCCTGAGAACTGAAGCCACTGTAAGAAAAACACATCTGCAGAATAAGTAGTAACAGTTACTCTTCATACATTCATACAATAACTCAGTATGAGTATATAAGTATATATAAGAAAAGTTAGCAGATTCATTTCTTCTCAGTGATTAGATAAATACAAATCAAATGATGCCACAAGGTTTTTTCTTTTTGACAGAAGGAAACGTATTTGAAAAGAGGAGAATCATGAGACACAAGGACTTTGCTGAGACTTGAACTCTGAGATATTTGAGCTAAAATGACTTAAGGGTTTCCTCAAAGAAGGAAATGTGAGGAGGAGATTATTCACCAAACATCTTTGTGACTCTTTTGGAACTTTTTAGGACAGTTGGGATAATAATCATATGAATGAAACTGTGTGTCAGTTACATAGTATTAACACAGAGCTGCTTGTGCATCTGTGAAGTGGGTCTTCCTCACACACAGAGAGAGCAGCCCCAGGAGAGAAGAGACCATATCGGAATATAAGACACAAACGAACACAGACACACACAGACACACACAGACGCAAACACGCATACGCGTTTGCTTGACAAATGAGGACCTATGTCTGCACTGTGACATATCAGGACGTGCCTTTCTGAAGGTCCCAGAGACCTGAGGATCACATAGGGGGGAGCAGGGTGTGATCAGTAACACAGCTAGCTGTTGATATTTTGGTTAAAAGAAACTTTTTTCCCGCATGATTTTATTGCCACATATGAGGACCTTGACAGGTCTGAGTGACATATTAGGACCTACAACAAACACATCCGGTCTGAGTGACATATTAGGACCTACAACACACACATCAGGTCTGAGTGACATATAAGGACCTACAACACACACATCAGGTCTTAGTCTGTAAATTTTTGTGCACCGCATTAGACTAGATGCCACTGTCTTTATCATCTGAACATCTGAACATTTTTAACCCATAGTTGAGTCTAAACATGATGTTCTTCCTGTTATGGTTTGGGTGAAGTGTGTTGTGTGAAGTGCATTACAGAGAATATAAATGGATGGAGATACTTCAGTATCCGCCATGCGGCC